TATTTGTATACCGCCCTTCTCCCTGAGGACTCAGGGCGGTGAACAGCCAAATAAAAACATCAAATACAAATATTAAAATACAGTTAAAAATATATATATGAATTTGGCCCCGTTAATTAAAAACAATAAACAAAACACTTAAAAACACTTAAAAAAATTAGGCCAGCCCGGCTTGCTGGAAAAGGAAGGTTTTAAGGGCACGGCAGAAGGCACCGAGGTCTTGGATTCTCCTTATATCTGGGGGCAACTGATTCCAGAGGGCAGGTGCCCCCACAGAGAAGGCTCTCCCCCTGGGGGTCACCAGCCTACATTGTCTGGCTGATGGCACCCCGAGGAGGCCCTCTCTGTGGGAGCGCACGGGTCACTGGGAGGCCGTTGATAGCAGCAAGCGGTCTCGAAGATAGCTAGGCCCTATGCCATGGAGCGCTTTAAAGGTGATAACCAACACCTTGAAGCGCACCCGGAAGACCACCGGGAGCCAGTGCAGCTCGCGCAGGAGCGGTGTTACATGGGAGCACCAGGCTGCTCCCGTCACTACCCGCGCTGCTGCATTCTGGACCAGTTGGAGCCTCCGGGTGCTCCTCAAGGGGAGCCCCATGTAGAGAGCGTTGCAGTAGTCAAGGCGAGAGGTGACGAGGGCATGAGTGACTGTGCACAGGGAATCCCGATCAAGAAAGGGCCGCAACTGGCGGATCAGGCGAACCTGACAAAAGGTCCCCCTGGTTACAGCCGTCAGATGTTCCTCCAAGGACAGCTGCCTATCCAGGAGGACTCCCAGATTGCAAGCCCTCTCTGTGGGGGCCAACGACTCGCCCCCAATAGTCAGGGATGGAGTCAACTGACTATATCGGGATGCCGGGACCCACAGCCACTCAGTCTTGGAAGGGTTGAGCCTGAGCCTGTTCCTCCCCATCCAGATCCGCACAGCCTCCAGGCACTGGGACATCACTTCAAGGGCATCGTTGGGGTGGCCTGGGGTGGAGATGTACAGCTGGGTGTCATCAGCGTACTGGTGGTATCTCACCCCAAAGCCACGGATGATCTCGCCCAGCGGCTTCACATAAATGTTGAACAGGAGGGGCGAGAGGACCGACCCCTGAGGCACTCCACATATAAGAGGCCTTGAGGTCGACCTCTGCCCCCCTGCCAACACGAACTGCGACCGGTCGGAGAGAAAGGAGGAGAACCACCGTAATACGGTGCCCCCCATCCCCAACTCTTCCAACCGGTGCAGCATAATACCATGGTCGATGGTATTAAGAACCATTTAGGCTAGGCCGGCTTGATGGAATAAAAACGTCTTCAGGGCCTTACGGAAAGTGCGGAGATCCGGAATCAGCCGTATTCCGGGAGGTAGCTTGTTCCAGAGGGCGGGTGCCCCCACAGAGAAGGCTCTCCCCCTGGGGGCCGCCAGCCGACATTGCCTGACAGAAGGCACCCTGAGGAGGCTCTCTCTGTGAGAGCGTATTGGCCGGTGGGAGGTTATCGGTAGCAGCAGGCGGTCTCGCAAATACCCTGGCCCTAAGCCATGGAGCGCTTTAAAGATGAGAACCAACACCTTAAAGCGCACCCAGAAGGCCACCGGGAGCCAATGTAGCTCGCGCAGGAGAGGTGTTACGTGGGAGCACCACGTCGCTCCCATAATCACCCGCGCGGCCGCATTCTGCACCAGCTGGAGCCTCCGGGTGCTCCTCAGGGGGAGCCCCATGTAGAGAGCATTGCAGTAGTCCAGGCGTGACGTAACCAAGGCATGAGTGACTGTGCACAAGGAGTCCCGATCCAGAAAGGGGTGCAACTGGCATATCAGGCGAACCTGATAAAAAGCCCCCCTGGCCACGGCCGTCATATGCGGGTATAAGCATAATTTTATTTCTATACCGCCCTTCTCCCAAAGGACTCAGGGCGGTGTACAGCCTATTTAAAAACACAAGACAAACATCAATTAAAAATTTAAAATTATTAAATAAATTCGGCTCAATTTAAAACCCCAGAAATTTAAAATACCCCAATCTAAAATTATTATGTTGATAGCCCGGCCTGGCGGAACAACAGGGTCTTCAGTGCGCAGTGAAACACCCGGAGGTCAGAGATCTTACGTATTTCCAGGGGCAGTTCGTTCCACAGGGCTGGGGCTCCCACAGAGAAGGCCCTCCCCCTGGGTGTCGCCAGCCGACATAACTTGGCCGATGGCACCCTGAGGAGACCCTCTCTGTGGGAGTGAACTGGTTGGTGGGAGGCTATCAGTGGCAGAAGGCGGTCTCGAAGGTACCCGAGGTCCTATGCCATGGAGCGCTTTAAAGGTGGTGACCAACACCTTGAATCGCACCCGGAAGACCACTGGGAGCCAGGGCAGCTCACGCAGGAGGGGTGTCACATGGGCACAACGAGTTGCGCCCATAACTACCTGCGCGGCCGCATTCTGGACCAGTTGGAGCCTCCGAGTGGTCTTCAAGGGAAACCCCATGTAGAGAGCATTACAATAGTCCAGCCAGGAGGTGACAAGGGCGTGAGTGACCATGTGCAAGGCGTCCCGGTCCAGAAAGGGCTGCAACTGGCGAATCAGGCGAACCTGATAAAAGGCCCCCCTGGCCACGGCCGTCAGATGCTCTTCTAAAGACAGCGGTTTATCCAGGAGGACGCCCAGATTGAGAGCCCTCTCCGTGGGGGCCAATGATTCACCCCCAATAGTCAAGGATGGCACCTGCTGACTATATCGGGACGCCGGAAGCCACAGCCGCTCGGTCTTGGAAGGGTTGAGTCTGAGCCTATTTCTCCCCATCCAGACCCGCACGGCCTCCAGGCAGCGAGACATCACATCAAGGGCATCGTTGGGGTGGTCTGGGGTGGAGATGTACAGCTGGGTGTCATCAGCGTACTGGTGGACTTTCACCCCAAGACCACAGATGATCTCACTCAGTGGCTTCACATAAATGTTGAACAGAAGGGGCGAGAGGACCGACCCCTGTGGCACCCCCCAAGCGAGGTGCCTCGAGATCGACCTCTGCCCCCCTGCCAACACAAATTGCGAGCGGTCGGAGAGGAAGGAGGAGAACCACCGTAGCACGGTGCCCCCTATTCCTAACCCCCTCAACCTCTGCAGCATGATACCATGGTCGATGGTATCAAAAGCCGCTGAGAGATCTAATAGGACTAGGACAGAGCAGCAACCCCTGTCCCGAGCCCTCCAGAGATCATCCACCAACGCGACCAATGCCGTTTCAGTGCTGTGCCCCTGCCTGAAGCCCGACTGGCACGGGTCCAGATAGACAGCTTCCTCCAGGTACTGGGGTAGCTGTCATGCCATCACACTCTCGACAACCTTCACCACAAAACGAAGGTTGGAGACCGGACGGTAGTTGGCTAATTCAGCCGGGTCCAGGGAGGGCTTCTTGAGGAGGGGCCTCACCACCGCCTCTTTCAAGGCGGCAGGAAAGGCACCCCCACTCAGAGAAGCACTTATAATTCCCTGGGTCCTGCTTTGGCTTGGCTGCCCTTGGAGGGCGATGGGGACTCTGGCCGAAAACCTCTTTTGGAGTCCCTGGAGGGAACCATTTGGAGTTTTCTAAAGAATTCTGAAGAAATTCCACCAATGGGGCATCCCCTTCTCCTCCTGCTGTGGGATCCCCCCCCCCAGACCATGGCAGAGGCTCTTGCTTAAGTCACCCCCCTTCGGGAGTTGGGAGAGGACGCCCCCGTGCTAAAGGGAGGCCCCTTGGGAAACCTAGGCCCAGCTCAGCCTGCAGCCCCCCCCCCATCCCTGTCCTTCCCCTCCAGGTTCCCTTTTCCCAATTCCAGGAAGTTTCTGGGGTGTTTTCCTAACCAACCTTGGCTCCGGAGGGAAGCTGCCCTCCTCCCCTGTACGCAGGGGGCCCATTCTGGGTCCTGGAACAAGGGCCCCTGCCTCATCCCAGGAGAGGTTGGGGGCTACTCAGGAACAAGAGGTGGGCTCCCTCTCCCCCCTCCCCAGCCTCATCCTCTTTATGGCTGATTGCTGCTTTTGCACACGCATAGAACCCAAAGCGAAGAAGGAACATCCACACAGACCAGGAAGTTCAGGCCCAGCCCCATAGCCAGCACTGTTCTCTCTCTCACCTGTTCCTGCAAAGAGGCAGCAAGGAATGAAAGCTCTCCCCAAAAAAGGGGCCCGGTTCCCCCTCGGCTCCCCCCTTCCTGCCTTTGGTGAAATGCGAAAATCCAGAGGCAAATTCACCAAGCAGCCTCCATGCTCAGGAGGAGTCTATCTGTGCTGGGGAGAGGGTGAAGAGGCTCCTGTGTTCTTTGTCCCTGGGCTTCTCCTCTGCAAGGGGGCCTCTCCCTTCTCTGATCGTTCCCCTGGCAGAGAGCGACCCACAGGCGGCCCTAGGGCAGTGGGTCTCAACCTTCCTAATGCCGCGACCCTTTAATACAGTTGCTCATGTTGTGGTGACCCCCAACCATAAAATTATTCCTAAGACCATTGAAGATACGTGTTTTCCGATGGTCTTAGGCGACCCCTGTGAAAGGGTCGTTCGACCCCCAAAGGGTTGAGAACCACTGCCCTAGGGGGAGGCAGAGCACCCCAGTCCTGGGACGGACGGACGGACGGACACGGTTTCCAGATGGTGATTTCATCCAGCCCCCACCCCAGGTGCCCCCCTCCCCGTTAATTCCTATCCAGGTTCGGATTTGTACCGGTGGATATTTACAAGGCTGGTTTGTGGCCTCCCTGCTGCCTAAGGTCTTTGCTGCCTTTGGGCTGCAGGTCAGGCGGCCGTCCCTGGCAGGCTGAGGGGCAGCTGAGGGCCGGTACAAACGGCTGGCCAGCTCTGGTAGCAGCCCTTTTGCCCCCTTTCTCTCCCGGGACCTCCCGCCCAGACTGGGCCAAGCCACGCTCGCTCCCAGGCCCACCCAATTGGCCTCTCAGTCAAAAGCGGCGCCCGCTCGCCCAGCTGTACTATCTCCACTTGGGAGCCGAAACTCGAGGGCTTCCCCTTGGCTACAGGTGACGAGGGCGCGCAAAGGAAGCGGATTGGCCGGCGGGCCCCAGAGGCGGCTCCGGTGGGCGCGGAGCGTCGGGCTTCTCTCCGGGCCCCAGAAGGACGCTGGGCGAGCGGACAGGGAAGGAGATGGGTCCCGCACTCCGCCGGTGGGCGCTGCCGGCCTTGGCTTTGATCTGGGCGGCCATGGCCACCGCTGGAGGTACAGACGCGGGCTGGGGTGGGGGGGGGCTGCCGACCAGCGTCTGCCACAGCAGGAGCCCCGCTATCCCCCCGCGTCCACACGTGCCCTTGACCCGAATGGGGCCGCTTCCTGGCTTCCTCCCTTGGCCCGTCACGTGACGAAAGAAGCCGCGTTCGTTCAGCAGGCAAAAAGCTCCCCGCCACCGACCAGCGGGACCCCGCCCGGTCACGCTTTGCTGGCTGTGCGGACGGCCTGTTGGGCAGAACAACAGGGAGCAGCCGGGACGGCGGCTGGGCACCGCCTTCGCCCTTCGTGCGGAGCTATTCCCGCCAACCCCGGCAGCTCTTCCAGCTCTCCCCGGAGCCTCGCCTTCACTTCCGCGAGCGGCGCCCGGACGGCCTCGGCCGGGGGGACTTTCGCCTGCGCTCCTGAGCCCCCCCGCCCCTCGACGTTTGCCTCGGGAGAGCTGTCCAGGGAGGGGGGGCTGGGAGCCGCTGCACCCCCTCCCGCTACTGCTTCTCCTCCCAGTCCCTCCTTAAGCTCGGGGGGCGGAGGGGCGGCTAAAACCCCGTTTACCGGACAGGACAAGCGGCTGGTCTCCGAGTTCAGAGGACGCCTCCGCCCCTCGTTTGCTCCCCCCCCCCCCGCTGGCGCTTCTGCTGAACGGCGACGGGCCCTCGCTCCAGGTTTCGTTTTCTCTTTAAGGAAAGGAAGTTTCAATCAAGGGGAATCTTTATGGCTCTATTTGAGGGGTCCTTCGTGCGCCCTGAGCCTCTCTGCTCGCTTTCTTGCACCCACAGTAGGTAACATCATCAGGGCCAGTAAGGAGTGTTGGCAACAAACATCGCTCCTTGGGTAGCACTGATGGTGTTACCTAGTTTGGGTCATGAAACGCCTGCAAGGAAACAGCCAGAGAGGCTCAGAGAGCACCAAGGACCCCGCAAAAGGAAGCTTCCTTCAGCCGGGCTCGCTGCAAGAATGTCTCTTCCGTTGGAGCCCAGGCAACCTCTGGCAGGCGCTTCAGCTGCCTTCGCACGACCCCCCCTCCCCAAGCTACCGGGGATGGCGAGGACCCCGCCGGGGGAGGAGGGACTCAGCGCCTACCGAAGCGGAGGGGCGAAAGGCGAGCAGGGGCCCTTTAGCAGTTTCAGGCTAAAGCTTTAGGCACAGCCAGAATGTGGGTTACTTCAGAGAGGCTGTGTGAACGCAGCCAGTCGATGCGCCCCCAAGAAGGAAGTCTTGTCCTCCCCAGCAGCTGAGAAAGGACCAAGGGGGTGAAGGAAGGTCGAGGAAAGCCAGAATGACAGGGGTCGGAGGTCTAAGACTATTTGCACAGTCCCAGACAGGCTTTCCCCCTCCCCCTCCCATTTCAGGGGCTTTGGAACTTCCCAAATGGCAGCCACCGCCCCCGATCCATGGGGTGGCTGGGTGCGGGGGACCTGCCAGAGGAAGGCGCCGTTCTAGGAGTCCCAAAGGCCCCGACATCCTGGGATGGTGTCCCTCTGTCCGTCCCCAGTGCCTGGCATCCCATGGGGCAAAGGAAGGGGGGTTGCGGGTTCTGTAGTCCCAGGCCGATTGTTAAGGAAATATACAATCCTAAAGGGACTCTTAAAATAAGTTCTACGGGACTGGTTCCGTCAAAAGTCCCTTTTACATTAGACTTTTATTATGTCAATCTCGCCCCTCCCCCCCGCCCACCGCTGTTTTCTTCCCTTTAGTCGAGTTTCTTGGAGGGAGGGAGGGAGGGTGGGGGCGCTCTGGTCCTCCCGGCCGGCACTTCAGGCGGTTCCGTCTGCTGAGCCCTTATCCGGGGCAGCCACGGCTCTCTTAACCACAGCAGCGGTCAGAAAAGTCAAGATGGCAGCCGCGTCGGGACCATTCTTTATGATCCGCGCCGTGCGTGGCGGAGTTCGGGGGGGGGCTTTGACCGCCCTTTGAACGAAATGAGCCCCGCGTGGGGTCTCGCGCGACCTGGCCACGGGGGCTGCTTCCCAACCACGCGACGCTCCAGGCGCTGGGTCCAGCCTGCCGTGTGTGTGTGTGTCTCCGTCCGCCCCCCCTCCTCCTCCTCCTCCTCTTTTCCCTCTCGTCCCCTCCAGAGCAGCCCGCGCACCTCTCCTCCGAGGTGTTTTTTTGCCAGAAGGACTCCCCGCTTTACGGCCTGGCTCAGACGCTGGACGATGACCTGCTCTTCTGGTACGACTTCCTGGGCTCCAGCTGGCGCTCCCGCCTGCCCGACTTCCAGCCGGAGACGCAGCTCTCCGAACCGCAGATCGAGGCACGGAAGAAAGTCTGCGACAATGTGCTGCCTTACCTCACCTGGTTTTCAAACCAGTCCATTTTTATCCAGTTCCCCAAGGCCAGAGGTGAGGCGCGCGGTGGGGCTGGGGGGGGGAGGGGAATAATCGGAAACCCTTCATTGGAGGCTCGCTTACCAGCTCTCCCTCTCCCAGCCAGCGGCCTGAACTCTCTTCCATCCTTGAATGCAGGAGTATCCAAGCTGTGCTGGCTGGGGAACTCTGGGACTTGAAGTCCATAGGTCTTAAGATGCTCCTGATTTATGGCTGTTTCCTTTATTTTATTTACTTTGTTCGTCTGCAACTCTGCACCGCCAAAGGTCATTTTACAGTAAAGTGGGCAGCCGCAAGGTGTCATTCAGCATCCCTGCCAATTAAAATGCAATTTACGCCCATTAAAAGGAAATGGATGCCGGAAGTATCCTAATGTGGATGGCAGCCAACTCTCTCTGGGGAGGGAAGTCCACTGACCGGAGGGGGGCCCCACCCTGGTAAAGAGCCACTGACCCCCTTGGGTGGGGAGGGACCTGGGGGAGAGGAACGGCTGGACACCCTTCAGGCCTAGGTACATGTGGGAGGAAGTGTGAATAGAATCACAGAGTTGGAAGGGACCTTAAGAGGTCTTCTAGTCCAACCCTCTGTTGTGCCAGAAGGCCTCTTAAAGCCTGGATGGGGTCTCTCCGGACTTTGGGGTCTCTCCGGGTCTTCTGGGTGCTGAGCCTGGTTTTCGTCCCTCCGGAAACCCTGAGGCCATCCCGGGAACTCACTCGGCCATCTCCTGCAGGAATCCCCCACGTGGAACTCTTCACCCTCCGGCCCCTGGTGCTGGGCCAGCCCAACGTCCTGGTCTGCTCGGCAAGAAACATCTTCCCTCCTGTGGCCAGAATCATCTGGGCCTTCCAGGGCCAGCAACTGACCCAGGGCGTCTCCTCCACCCCAGTCTTCCCTGTCCAAGAGCTGGACTTCCAGATCTTCTCCTACTTGGAGGTGACGCCCCAGGTGGGGGACGTCTACAGCTGCAACGTTAAAAGCCTGGGGGGCAAGTTCGACAGCATGGCCTACTGGGGTGAGCCACAGCCTCCCACCTCCCCTCCCGGGCTGCCACGAGAGACCCCTCCCCACCTGACCCCTTCCTCCTGCTTCTCTTGCAGTCCCCAAAGACCCCATCGCCTCCAAGCTCCTGGAGAACGTCCTCTGCGGCCTTGCAGTGGCGGTGGGAGGGGTCTTCATGATCGTGGGGATTGTCCTGCTGGCCCTCTCCTTCAGGGTCCGGAGCTCAGGTAGGGGGCAGTGGGTGGGAGGGCAACGTTGGGTGGGAATCAAGGGCCTGACTTCCCCGGGAACCCCTCCGCTGCTGCCTCAACCTGTGGCTTGGCTCACTGGCAGAGCTTCTCCAAATGAGGAGCAAAGCTGCAGGACAGATTTTAGGGTGTGTGTGAGAGGAGCCCAGGCAAGGCGGGGGGGGGGGGGGGAAGCAGGGTCCTTCTGGTTGGGGGGGGGGCAGAGCAGGCAGGACCAGGGGTGAAATCCAGCAGGTTCTGACAGGTTCTGGAGAACCAGTAGTGGAAATTTTGAGTAGTTTGGAGAACCGGCAAATGCCACCTCTGGCTGGCCCCAGAGTGGGGTGGGAATGGGGATCTTGTAGTATCCTTCCCCTGGAGTAGGGTGAGAATGGAGATTTTGCAGTATCTTTCCCCTGCCACGCCCACCAAGCCATGCCCACAGAACCGGTAGTAAAAAAATTTGGATTTCACCACTGGGCAGGACCCCACTTTTTAGGGTTGAAATCACCCTTCTTCTCTTGTTCTTAGACTGAAGGTGCCCTCAGCAAGAAGACCCTCCTTTCCCACCCCCCATCCATGGATTGGCATGACCCGGAAGCCTCGCTGGGAAGACCCCCTGGATGTCAGAGTTCCCCCCTCCCCAAACTGAGCAGGGAAAGCCATTTTTTGGGAGCTGTTTCCTTCTCTGGCCCTCAATCCCAACCAGCAGCAGAACAATCTTTCCCTGGCAAGGGGGGCTGGAAGTGGGGTCCCACCTGGGTCACCCCAATGGATGGAGGCAGATTGCAGATTGAACCCCATTTCTGCCACTAAACTGCCCCCCTTCCCTGCCTTTGAGCCTCATTGTTACCAGGGTGGGAGCTGCCCCCCTCTTGTGTTAAATTGGTTCCCCTCCCCCCCTCCCTCCCTCCCCCCCCAGAACACTGCAAACCAGAAGAGGCGTTTTTGTTGGCTTGTAGCAAAAAAAACCTTGATCAAAGCTGGAGGAACTGAAATGGGTCCAGGTGTGCTGGGGGGGGGCAGAAATTGGTCCCAATCCCCTCCTGCTTCTATTGGGAGGAAATCCCATGGAAGTCAAGGTGCCTTGGAATTGCCCTCCCTGCCTCCATCCTCCCAGGGCTGCCATGAAGAAGTGAAACCGTGGGTGGGTGGGCGGGCGGGCGGGTGGGGGAAGGGGAGAAATCTTCCTGGCCAAGAATGGCCAGAAGAGAAATTCTTGTGTAAAACATAAATCTGCATACTATGGTAACACAGTAGAAGGAGGAAGCTGAGAGAAAATTACTAGGCTACAAACACTGTAAAATGGCTTAAATACAGAGAGAGATCTTTGAAGCTTTATTCAATTATTAAAAGTTTTAAATTGCACGCACAACCCGTGTCTGGATTCATTGGCTGGGGCTTCTGAGGTGGTCAAAGGAGGAACCCCCTGCCCCATCGTGCTTGGGGTGGGAGACCAAACCCTTGGATGCTGTGGGGGGGGGGGATTAGTAGTTAAAACAACAGTGATTAAATCTGCTAGTTTGAAGAGATTTCTAGTTTGTGGATTTACAGGCAGCTGCTACCTATAAGTTGGGTTGACAAAATCAGAAACTTGCAAGCCTCCCTTTCAGAAGGGCTGAATTGAGGGGAGATGAGCAGCAGCCCTGAGACTGGAAAAAGGCAGTGAAACTTCGGGAGGGGGAGGGGGAGGGCCCACAGGCCGGGATTGGGGGGAGGGGGAGGCTGTGGGTTTCAAAAAGAGGAAGGCCTCAGCCAGAGGCGCGTGGGAGAGAGACTTTTTAGGACTTTGGATCGGGTGGTTCTCCTGGGCCAAACCCTTCCAGAGCCTCAGACTGGAGGGAAGGCGGCGTCCTCGCGCTGGCCTGTAATCACGCCCCCCCCCACCCCCCTTTGGATGAGATTGAACCCACCGAGGCGTGGACGGCTTCGCTTGGTCTCGGGTGTCAGCGATGCTCCGGGCCTTACAGAAGCTTTTCCTCCAGGCAAAAGCGCCCCTCCCTACCCGCGCGTTTCCTCACAGGGAGGGCCAGACGGGCCCCTAAAAGGCCCGCTATCCCCACGCCCGACCTCCTCCTCCGGCGCTTCTGGCTGGAGGGAGTTCCACTGCTGCGAGGCTCCGGAATGGAGGAGCCATTTCCATTTTACAACCGCCAGAGCCCAGAGCGTTGGGCTAGAAGCCCCCTGTTGCACGGCGCTTTGGGAAGGCAGCTATGGCTGAGCTGGGCTCAGGGCGCGAAGGGACCCTTCTAGATCCCGAAACTCCGCCTGGCCGACCTCGGCGCTGCGAGGCTCAACTGCCGGGTCCGAGGCCGGTTGCCCTCCTGCCTGGTTCTCCTTCCCTACAACTCCCGCCCCGTCCTCTACTTTCGCTCGGGGCCGTGGAAGCGAGAAAGGGACTGCTGCTCCCCGCCTCGCTCCTCCGGCGACTACAAGGCCTAGAACCCCCAAGTGGAGAAGGGAACGACCCCGGGAGCCTTGATGCTTGTTCACGGGGAGACTCAGGCCAAGCCAGGCCAGCCCACCCACCCCACCCCGCGGCTGGAGCGGAAGCCGGAGGCTTAAACACGCAAAGGACGGTTGCAGGAACTGGGTACGCCTGGTTGAAGGAAAAGAAGGCCCGGGGGTGACAGGGTGGCAGTCGTCCAATATCTCAGGGGCTGCCCCAGAGAAGAGGGAGTCAAGCTACCCTCCAAAGCCCCTGAAGGCAGGACAAGAAGCAACGGAAGGAAACTCATCAAGGAGAGAAGGAGAAACTTTCTAACTGTGAAAACAATTAATTAGTCAGTGGAAGGATTTGCCTTTAGAAGTTGGAGGTTTTTAGAAGAGACCGGACTGCCGTTTGTCCGGATTCCTACAGGGCTTCCTGGTTGAGGGGGAGGGGAGAGGTTGGACTAGAAGACCTCCAAGGGCCCTTCCAACCCCGTCATTCCGTTATTCTTCGGGACTCCTTTCAAGCGCCTCGGGACAATTTCCCTCTCCGGCGCTCAGACGGCTGGGCTTCCCCAGCGACTGATGACGCGCCGGCGTCCGCCTTCGCCATTGGGTGGCCGCGTCGGTAGGACGCTTGGCCGGGGGAGGGGCGGGCGCGGAGAAGGGCGCGCCAGTCTGGCTCGGGGTCTCGTCCGGGCAGCCCTTCCCGAGAGTCTGCCAGACCTTCCGCCTCCGCGGCCCGCCGAGATGCCGCCTCCGTGGCTGCTGCTGATCCTGGCGCTGAGCGCCCCGCCGGCAGGTAAGGCCGCGCCTCGAGGGGAGCCATCCCGGCTGCGCCCCTCCCCACGCCCCCCGCGACCCCCCAGGCGCCTTGCCACTGGTCCCGCAGCCAGAGCCCTGGCAAAGGGGGCCCGCCGCCCAACCGCACCTTAAGGGGCGATGAGCTTGCGGGTAGACTCGGTGGGGCAGCAGGTGGGCTCGCCGCGGGGCCAGGTAGAACTTCCATGCCCGGCGGCAGTCTATCTGTGAATTTCAGTCATCCGGAGGCGTTCCGAGGTAGAACGGGGGGATCCCGGGGAATCTGCTTACTCCGCGCGGAGGCGGGGGCGCCATCAACCTGGGAGGCGGGAGGCCCAAGGGGTGCGGATTTGGGGGTCTCCTGCCCATGTAAAGAGCGCTTTTCCTGGCCACCGAGTTCCTCGGACGAGCCTCTCTCCGCCCCGGTTTCGCTTTCTTTTTTAACCGCCGGGACTGAGACGGAGCGCCGAGGAGGCGGGAGTTCGCGTCTCTCTGCCTTCCAGCTTCCCTCCGGGCGGACGTCTTGGGCTCCGATTCCCATCCTCCACGGCGCGGGGGCCGCAAGGGCTGGGCTACTCCCGGAGGCGGGCCCGGACCAGGACGGCTGGGCATTCCCCGGAAGAAGGGCGGGGGTCTCTGGGCTGAGGCGTCCCTCCCGGGCGAGGCCGCAAGACCGCGGAACTCCCTGCCTCTGGAAAGCCACAGCAGTGGGCGGGCAGGGGGCTTCCTGGCAGCCGCGCCCTGATCCCCGCTTCCTCCCCCCCCGCCCGCAGGTGGCTTCGTCCTGCACCTGGAGACGGACTGCTTCCTCTCGGCCGACGGTCGCCTCCTCCAGCCCCGTTGGACCCTTTTCTTCAACAAGATGCCCTTCACCTGTTTCGACTTCCAGCGGAAGGCCTTCGTGCCCTGCGGCCTGGGCGCCTCCGTGCCCTGGAACTACAGCGGGGAACCCGTGGCTCAGTGGCTCATGGAAACCTCCCAGGAGCTGCCCCAGGAAGACGCCCAGCGGTGCCCGCTGCAGGGCCAGGCGCTCTGGGGGCAGACCGGGGACAGGCGGAGTGAGTGGGGGACGGGCGGGCACTGGGTGGGAGAGGAGCGCCTGACTAAAGGAGGGGGCTCCTCCTAGAATACCGGCTGGAAGGGGTCCTAGAAGTCATCTAATCTGACCCAAGTAGACGGGGGCAGAGGAGTTGATTAGAAAAACCTTCCAAATTGCTGGGCGGGGGGGGGGGGGGCTTGACCTCCAACTGGAAGCGGGGCAACTGTGCAGAATGCCAGAGTCTGGTCCCGCCTAGCAGGCAGGGCGTTGAGCAGGAATTAGTCCGGGGGCCCTTCAGAAGCTTTGATTTCAGATCAGAGCATTTTAATTCGGGGAGGTGCTTCCGAGGGAGGGGTGGGGGGGAGATCGGTGGGGAGTGGGGTGCAGAGAGAGAGGGAGGGCGCAATCCAGCCTTCCCTGTCCGTCTTCCTTCCTCAGCTGCGCCGAAGGTCCTCATTTCCCCGGTTGCCCCTCAGAACACTCCGTATCCCATCATGCTGGCCTGCATGGCGTGGGGCTTCTACCCAGGGGACGTCAACATGACCTGGCTTTGGAACGGGGAGCCCGTGAAGGATCGGCTGGACCCCCCCGCGGGTCACCAGTAATGGGGACTGGAGCTACCAGGCGCGGCTGACGCTGCCGGTCGATCCCCAGAAAGGGGGCAGCTACACCTGCTCCGTCCAGCACTCCAGCCTGGATGCGCCCCTCACCGCAGAATGGGGTGAGTGGGAGGGAGGGAGGGGGGACAACTCACTTTGTGGGATATCTCCTCCTGTCAGCTGCCCCCGAAGCAGCAGGGCTGGGCCTCAAGGGGACCTCTGTGCATGTGCAGTGTTCTCATCTCTCAGGGGTTTGCAGGAAAGCCTCTGGACAAGGGAGCAGGCAGTACAGGGACCTGTCCAAGAATTGAGGCCCCCCAACTACAACCCCCCCCACTTAGAAACTGCATAAATGTCCATCTTGGGGAAATCGGAACAGCCTGTGGGACTCCCCTCCACTGGGGGACTGATGGTTTTTCTTGGACAGTGTCAGTTTTAAGATGCCTGGACTTATTCCCAGAATCCCTCAGTTGTTGAGTCTGTGTGGCGGCTGGGGAATTCTGGGAGTTGAAGTCCTTGCATCTTAAAGTCTTAACCGTGTTCAAGGGCAGAGGTCTCCCTTCCTTTGGCGTAAGTCGAGGACCCTAACCCCTCGAATGAGGGAACCAGAAGCGTCTTCAGCAGCAGAAACACTCGGGGGGGGGGGAAAGCCTTGTGTTGGGCAAAGGAGCCCGAGGGGGAACCCTCTCTCCATTAAGGGGGTGACATTAAGAGCCCCCCCCTTTTCTGTCTCCCTGCTCAGCCCCAGGCCTCCCCTCGGAGCTCTGGATCAAAATTGGGTTCTCGGTTGCCGTGATGGTGGTGGGGACGGTGTTCCTGGTGGCAGGCCTGGTCTTCTGGAAGCGGTCAAGGCTCCAAGGTGAGCCCCCCCCAAGAGCCCATGCAGGGGGTCGAGGGGGGGGGAAAAGGCCTCTGGGGAGGGGCTGTTTCATGCAGGGAGGAGGGGCTGCAGATGCTCCAAAGGGGTCTTTGGGTGGGGGGTCCCTGGCTCTCTGGGGAACTGAGCCCCCCCAACCCAAAGGGCAGGGGCTTCAGCCATGGAGGGCATGGGGGGGGGGCTCAGAAAGAGGGCACCCGGGAGAAGGTCTCTGCCTGTGGATGCAGTGCAGCAGCAGCAGAGGGGGGAGGAGGAGGGCTGGCCCCCAGTACTTGGGCCCACCTGGGACACCCAAACACCTGACCAACCCATTGCCTCCCCTCCCCTGCAGGATACTCCCTCCTGGAAGGCGACAACTACCCCGGTGAAGGTGAGTCTGGCAGCAGTGGGGGGGGGGCAGACTGACGGCCCCCCACCCACCCATGCTTGGGCCCCAGCCCCCCCTTCCCTTTTGGCAGCCCCAGGAAGCCTCTGAGGCAACAGAAAGGCCCAGCAGCTGCTCCGTCAGGAGGGGTGGGCTGGGGGTGCCAGAAGACCCCTCCCTCCGTTTCTCTTCCTGTCCCCTCTCACCGTCCTACCCCAAAGACCGGACCACGGGTTGGGTCTTGGGTGTGTGTGTGGAGGGGTCCCCCACCCCAATTTCTGTATTTGCTGGAACAAATTCTTACCCCCCCTCTTCCCCCTCCACAGGTCGGTAGCTTTCGGACTCCTCCTCCCCGAGCTCAGCTGCACCCCAGCAGCCCCTCCCTTCCCCCTTCCAAGGGCAGCTTTATCTTGGGGGGGGTCTCCAAGAGGCTCCTCCCTCCCTGTAGAGGCCTTTGTGCACCCAAGTGCGGTTGCAGCAGCCCCAGAATGAGGAGCTGGGACCCCCGGCAACCCCCCTCCCCCACGCTTGTAGATGTCGGGGTGCTGGCTCTTCCTGCGCACCGGCTTCTCCCCCAGGGCGGGGCTCAAGAAATAAAAACATGGCTTCCACCCCCCCCCCAGTTGCACTGCCTGATGGTGTTGGGAACCCTTTGGGGGAGGGGGGAGAGACGGGTGCAAGTGGGGAGATTTCCAGGAGAGGATTTGCTGTTTCACAAAAGGGACCTTGAACTTCCGGGCAGGAAGCGGCAAAGGCGGTGCCAGTCGCTGCTCACTAGCTCACTCGCTTTCAGGGGGGGGCAGGGCGAGGCCTCCGGTGGCAGCCAGAGCTGGCAAGGCTGGTGATGCCCAGGGACCCCCGAGGGGCAGAGGCCTCTCCAACTTTCCTCCCCTGTGGGGGTCCCTCTCCCCCCCCCCGTGTCTGATTCTGCCGAGCAGCCACGCCAACCCCCCATGGCCCGCTTCTCCCCCCCCCATTCCAAGGCTTGTGGGCTCCCCAGGCAGGAGAGCCAGTGTGGGGTGGGTGTATATAGGCGAGCAGGATCCCCCCCCAGCCTACCAAAAGCTGCCCCATCAGCCCTGAAAAAGAGGAAGCGAGAAGCGCAGCTCCTCCCCCTTCGCTCAAGGGTGAGAAATTACCCCCCCCAAAAAAAGAGGGAGGGAAGCGAGGAAACCCCCTTCCGCAGCTCAGTTCTTAAGGTCTAATCACATGAAATCTTTTCAAAGCTGAAAGAGTTTGGCAAGGCCGGGGTGGGAGGAGGGGGAGGGCCTCGGTGCTCCCTCAGCTGCAAGACCCCCCTCCCCCCCAAAAAAGACGGGCTGGGAGTGGGCTGCTTCCCAGAGAAGTGAGAAAGACGACATGAGGAGCCTGGTTTAAAATGGGAATCCAAAGTTAAATCTGAATAAAAAGCTTTGCAGCCTTTAGAATGGAGGGGGGGGCTAGATGACCAGAACCCCCCCACCCCCTGCATAGGTCAGGGATAATACCAAGGACAGAGCTTCCCTCGAGGGGGGAAATCCGATTCCTGCTTCTCAGATTCTTTGAACGTTTCCCCCACTCCAGCCGATAGCTCTGGATCTCCTGTTGGTCTCCCATCCAGGGACCGAGGTTGCTCTTTCATCACATGGACTGTGGGGATGACAATGAGAGGCGCACGGCAGTTCTGGAGGGCTCCCCCAAAAGGGACACATGTGGGGCCTAGAGACTTTCTGCCAGTTCCTCCTTGGGGGACCTCTGAGCAGGGCCTGGAAGCCAAGGATTTGCACCCCAAACACGAAGGCTGAGCTGCCACCCCAGGCCCCTCACAGGACCCCTCCCTCTAAACTGCCAAAAGCCCCCTCCCCCCTGAGTTGAAGCATGGGGTCCCCCAAGCCTTGGGCAGGTATTTCTGGGCCGAGGATGATGGGCCCCGGTGGAGCCGAGAGAGGCTAAGCCAAAGGAACCTCCCTCCTGACCTCCAGGGCAGGGCAGCTCCCATCATCCACAGCTGGACAGCCAACAGATAAGGAGGGAAGATGCTAAGTGGACCCCATGACAAGACGGGAGGCCCAGTGCCAAAACCCAAACCTCGGATCCCCCCCCATCTGACCCTGGCAGACGAGGACCCTGCCAGGCCCCCCTTCAGACCCCCTGGGGCCTGCCCTGTTTTGCCGTCCCCCCAGGAACACCCCTCCCCCCCAAAAAAAAGAGGAACGCCAAAGACAGATGTCAAAGGAGCAATATTGTCATCAGTTCCACAAAAACAGCTGTAAAAAGGCAGGAAACAAACTTTGCCCCCCCCCCCATCGCTCCTCCTCCCCCCCCACTGGAGGAGAGGGACAGGGAGGGCAAGAGACCCCTCCCCCCAGGCCTCCCTGGGAGGAGGAACCGAAAAGCACGGGCCTCTCTGCCCTTCCCCATTGGCCCCATTGAAGGTTTGGGGGGGGCGAGTGAAGCATTCCCCCCCCCAGCGAAGCATCTTCTTGAAGAAGCACCTTGAAGGCAAGAGGGGTGCCCCCCCCACCTGCCCCCCCCAGTTGCTGTCCATCAGGTTGCCCCCCCCAGCCCTCGGTTATTTCTGTTCCTTGGTGGGGGCGTAGTAGAGCTCAAGGGGCCTGCTCAGCTTCCAGTATTTCTCGTTCACCAGCTCCAGCGTCGCAGAACCGTTCAGCGTCTGAGCCAAGGAAGGACACGGGGGTGGGGGGGGGGGGGCTGTCAGTTAGAGGGTCTTCTGCCCCTCGGCCCAAACCCTCCCCTCACAGACCCTCAGCCTTCCCTGGAAGAAGGAATTCCTCTCACTCTGAGGGAAAACGGGTGACTTGGGCAAGCGAGTCAAGCTGCACGGACCCAACCGGCAGCATTTGCTGGAGGGGAAATCTTAAGCCCCCCACCCTCATAAAGGGACCCCGACTTTCTGGCTACCTCTTCCCACCGACCCCAGCCCCATGGCCCCCACCTCACCGTGAAGGCCCCTCCGGCCGTGGTGATGTAGATGGTGTACTGCTTCTCGCTGACATCGTCCAGGGCGGGGGGCTCGGGGCCCAGGCCCGGGGTCTCCTCCAGGGCGATGCGCAGGGCCAGGTATTTGGACAGGTGGTCCACCGTGGCATTGGCCGTGGTCTTGACGTACCTGCCAGCCCGGGGGAGAAGAAGTGAAGGTAAGAGGAAAGGATGGAGGGGGGGCTACCCCAGTGCCGGGGTGGGGGAGAGTGGAGAGGAGCTGCACTCCAGGTGGGGTTCACACATGCCAGGTCCAGAAGAAACCCCCACCTCCCCAAAGACCTTCCCCCCGTCAGACCCCTTTAAACTGCCCCAATCTTGGAAGGCTGCCCCACAGCTGCAATGGGCCCCCACGGAAGAGCCCCTCGTCCCCTCACCTCGTCTGGGAGTAGCCCCCCTCCATCAGGATTGGGTGAGGCCGGAAAACCAGCTCGATCTCGCTGCTGCTGGACTCGGCCCCGGGTTCAGGGCTGCCGCGCCCTCCTTCGTGGGAGGTCTCGGGCTCGGCGCACGACTCGTCCGAGGCCCGCGAGCGCTTGCAGCTGGGCCCGGCCTCCGGCTGGCTGGGGGCCGAGGCGTTGCTGAGGTGGGACCGGCTGTCGCAGTTGTCCTCTGCCCCACTGAAGGTGGTGTTGTCTGACTCCTGCGGGTGCTTCCGAACCCGCTGCCCCCTGGCAGAGGACAAAGGCCGAAAAAGCAAGGGGGGGGAGTGGGCACTGTGAGGAACGCCAAGTCTCCCCTTTCACCCCCTGTTCCACCCAAAGGATCCCCCAGGGGTGAAATCCTTTGCAGGCCGCTACTGGTTCACTGCCCGCGCATCCATGGTACATGCCAGATGCATACTGTGCGCCCACATGCAGTCAGATGCACGCTGCATGCACGATGCGCGCCAGACACACGCTTCACGTGGAAAAAGGAGCCGTTTGGAGGTAAGTAGAACAGTGACGGGGGGGACTTTTTTTACTACCGGTTCGCCAAACCGGTAGATTTTATCACTACCAGTTCGCCCGAACCGGTGTGAACCGGTAGGATTTCACCACTGGATCCCCCCAGAAGAAGACTGGGAGGGAATGAAGCCTCTGGTTTGAGCGGGGGTTGGACTAGTGGACCTCTGGGGCCCCTTCCTAAAGGAACCTGGAGGGGAAATGCAATGGCAGATTCGTGGGGGTTTGCCCTCACACTCAAGAAAACAATTCCTAAATTCCAGGTGACAACCCCACCCTAAGAAAAAAAAAAAAGAATATTTTTGTGGCAATGACAGAAGTGATTTCTGGGCACAGCGGCAAAAATTGCACGAGGAATTGAGCCCCCCCCCACCCCGCAAGGGCTCCTGCTTTGCTTCCCTCTGATGGGGAGGGGCTTCCCCAGATGTTTTGGGGTGAGTGCATAAGAGGCAGAGGGAGGGGAGGCGCCCGGCTGCCCCTACCGGTTCATGGCCTGCATCTTGAGCCCTTCCTCCATGCTGCTGCGCAGAGCCTGCTGGTTGTGCAGCCGGTTGAGCTTGGCCAGCACCCGGTCCTGGTGGGCTTCGTACTCATCGCGGCTGGGGTAGATCTTGGAGATGAGGGCATCGAAGTTGGGGTCGGGGCGCAGGGAGCGCTTGGACACCAGCTTCTTCCGGC